CTCCTACACCCCAAACTCCTCATCCCCAGCCCCACTTCAGAGCCTGCACTCCCAACCAGAGCCCTCACCCCCTCCTGTACCCCAACCCCAATTTTGTGAGCATTCATGGCCTGCCATACAATTTCTATTCCCAGGTGCAGCCCTCAGGACAAAAAGTTTGCCCACCCCTGAGTTAGGTTGTTTGCTCCCCGCTGTTCCTATTGGGAGGCTCTTCTACAACCTTTCTCCTCAGATCATTAGAAACCTGCTTCTTATGTCAAGCCTGCATTTATTCATGGCCAGTTTATATTGCACCAACATTGTCCTTTAGCTTCAATAGCTCTTCTCCCTCCCTGGTATTTACCCCCTGCCCCCCAATGCAATTATACAGAGCAACCAGATCTGCTCACAGCCTTCATTTTGAAGTGGACTGAGAGTCAGGAGTCTGGGGTTCCATGTCCATCCCCACAACTGACTTTCTGTGCAGCTTTTGGCAAATCACTTGTGCCTCAGTTTCCCCATCTTTACTAACCCTTGGTATATGCTCTGAGGGAAGGTGTTAGAGAAAACTGAGGTGGATATTGTAAATAATGGTGGGTTCTTCAGATCACCTTGGGTAAAATGCACCAGTGGGTATCCATTGGCCAGACACAATTACTTCTGCCACCTGAAATCCAGAGGCTGTTGTTTACCACCAGGACAGTCCCAAACTCGCCCTGCCACCTCCCTGCAGGGAACATAAGCACTGCCAGAGATGCGCCATAGGATAAAACAGGGAGTGGATTGAGCCAGCTGGTGTTGGATTCTCCATCTCCTGGACCTGACTAAAGTGCACAGACATCCTTCTGTTTCCTAGTTCAGTTCCTTGAACGGTGGGTCTGACACTAGCCGTTAGTCCCAGCAGCCTGTCATTAGCCCAGGGCTGGTCATTGAGAGCAAAGGGAAGCAGAAAAGCAGCAATTCCAGCTCAGGGGGTGTAGAAGGAGCAGGAGCTCCCAACCCTCTGCTCTCTGGCCTTCCAGGCAAACAACTTCAATCTGTCTAAAATGCTAATCATCCACCTTGCCCACTGCTATGGCTACATCTAGCTCCTGGCAACACCCCCACTCTTCACTACTACACTTAACCCTCAGCCCCTTCACTGCGGCCAAGCCCCTCGATCTACCACTCTTCATGGAGCTCACCACCCATCTCCATGTCTTCTCCCACGCTGCCCATGCAACCCAAGCACTCTTCACCCCATCCACCACTCCATGCCTCCACCTGGTGCCCTGTTCTGCCCCACCTCCCAGCAGGTGGCATTGAGGAGAGGGCTCTCCAGCAGATGAGGTATGGGGGCACACCACAGGAGACAGATCTTAAGGACAAAGAGAATGACACATTTGGATGAGAAGGAAGTGCTGATAGGAGCTGCCAGATCTAAGTAAAGTGACTGGGAGTGGAAAGGTGATGGTAATCTGTGTTCTTTATGGATCTGGCTTCACCAGCCCAAGGACAAGTCAGACAGGTAGAGCACTTTTAATTACAGAACAAAGGAGCCTGTTGTGGAGGAGAGGCAGGAGGGCTGGGGAAAGGAGAAAAGCAGGGAAACAGGGACCAGCTGGTCACGGAGATCAACTCTGCCTCTTCCCCAAACATCAGCCGCATAGAACAGGAAAAATTTCAGGTCTCTAAAGCAAACACTCTGCTTGGTCCCTGCCAGCTAGCAGCTTCCACCGGCCTCTTTTCCCAGCTCATGTCTCTTCTGTTATAGGAACTGAGGGCACCAGAGGGGACTTCCCGTAAGTGAGAATGGGAATGACAGAGCTTGGCTCGGCTCCTCGTCTCTAGGAGGACATGGAATATAAAGTGGCTTTGAGCACTACCATGCTCCCTTCATTTTGGGCTGCCGGTGGGTCTGCTTACTACACCTCTGGCCTGTCTCTTCTCTATCACAGGGATGTCTCACACGTATGCATTCGTGTGAATGGGATGCATGCACTTGTGTGTTTCTGTGTGCGCATCTTTGCCTAAGTACGTACACACATGTGCATGGGAGCCTGAGAAGGTGTGTGTGAGCGACTGAATATCTGGGGCATGTGAAGGTGATTATATATGACAGCAAGAAGCTGCGTGTGTAAGAGCGGCTGCACGTGTAGCTGCATGCACATGTTCGTAGGTGATGGACCTGGAATCTGAGAGTGTTTCTACACTCTCAAAGTCGTTAGTGCTGTGAGGGCTTAAGGTTACAGCACCAAATTACTCCTTGATTACTGTGAGCAACTCCACCTGACTCTGCACACAACTGGCACCAGGCCAAAAATGGCTGCAAAGAGGCTACTAAAGCTCAAATCGATAGACTCTTTGCAGTATACCCCAAAAGAACTGAGAATCTGGATATTTACTTTTCACATATGTATCTCCTGGGAGCACATTTCTCTTTGGGTTTTCAATTTTCTTTATTAAAGTGAAGGGTTTATAGCTTGGGCAGGGTACAAGCAGTAGAAGAGTCATACACACGGCTCTGCCCAGGCACCTCAGTCTTGTCCCGCACCACCCCCGGCTATCCCACCTCTTGCTCAGCTCTGTCACTGCACTACCATCCTAACCACTGTTATTCCAGTCCTCCCATTCACCTCCAGGGCTGGGCCAGGGCCCCTTCAGACCTGACATGCAGTACCCCTGCTATGCTAGGCCTGGCTCGCTCTGCCCTCTGTGAGGTTTGGTGGCATGGATAAATAAATATATTTGTCCAATAAAAACTGCCCATTGGTTTACATTTTTATGTTCTTTTGTGTTGGTTATGGACCTCCAGAAATCAGTTTCTAAGAAGGGGTTACACTAGTGTAAAACTGGGGCAACCGAATAGAGAATCAGGCTCCTTCAACTGATTTATTCATTTTCAGGTTATGATTCCTCCACCGCTCTTCCTAAAGGAGCTGAAATTAACATGGCTTTTCTTGTTTACAGCCTCATTAGTGCACCAATGTCATTTGTGATGTCCACACCAGTCTGAGAATGGGGTTGCTAAGTAAAGATCTACTGCAATAACAGCACTGTGGAGCACAAAGCATTATTTGCATAGATCACAAACAGTGACTATTTGCCCCTCTTTTAGTGAAGAAGAGATGGATTATTATTTTTTTCTTTTAAAAGATGTTTAGCATTCAGACTTTACCTATCTAATTATAACAACACAACTCAACAGTGTCCTTTCAGTTACTACACATCAAAGTGTTGCTGCTTAATTGAGTCCTCTGATGCATGTATCCTGCACAAGGAACCAAATTCTGTGTGCCAAGGCACATTGTTTTACTTCTTTATTCTGACATATATAAATAAACCCAAAAAGCACCATCCTCTGGACTCTGACATCATTCTATACATTTTACAGTACCAAAAATTCATTCAAAGAGCTGTAAAATAATGAGTAGTCACTCTAACCAAACCTCACCTATCAGCTGACCCAATTACAAACCCTTGCCCAATCCAGAGATCCCTCAGGCCACCCCTCCCCCCCCGCCCAACATGAGTTTTGTTTGCCAAACAATATATTCCCTCCAAGCAAGTAGGAAATGAAGGCCATGTCGGCACTACAGAGCCTATGCTGGCATAGCCCCTAGTGTAGATGCAGTGTATGTCAACAGAGGGAGTTTTGTTGCCAGCATAGGAATACCACCTCCCCGAACTACGTTAGCTGCATGGACGAAAGCCGTCTTCTATCAGCAGAACACCAGAATCCCTGGCTGGGATGATTTAGTTGGTGTTGGTCCTGCTCTGAGCAAGGGGTTGGAGTAGATGAACTCCTGAGGTCTCTTCCAACCCTAATCTTCTATGATTCTAACTCCATCTGTACTGGGGGGTTTCTTCAGCATAGCTATGCTGCTGGGGTGTGTGTGTTTTTTCACACCCCGACTGACATAGCTACACCAGTAAACTTTTCCAATGCAGACCAGCCTTAGTTTTTCAGCAGAACAGGTCCATTGCCTTGATGTGGTGAGATGCCCCAATCACGATAAAGGCACAATAGAGTCACTTTAAGGTCAGAAAGGACCATTATGATCATCTAGTCTGACCTCCCGCACAATGCAGGCCACAGAATCTCACCCACCCACTCCCGCAACAACCCCCTAACCTATGTCTGAGCCACTGAAGTCCTCAAATCATGGTTTAAAGACTTCAAGGTGCAGAGAATCCTCCCACAAGTGATCCGTGCCCCACGCTGCAGAGGAAGGCAAAAAAAAACCGAGGGCCTCTGCCAATCTGCCCTAGAGGAAAATTCCTTCCCAACCCTGATATGGCGATCAGCTAAATCCTGAGCATGTGGGAAAGACTCTATATTTCCTCAACCTCCCACACCATCCCAATCCCCGGATGTAAAGTCTGGCCAGCTGTATCAACTGAGCCAAATTGCATCTGGGACTGCCCCCTGGGTATCATGGCAGCCCTGAACACCTGAGTGTGTATCAGCCAAGCAGCTCCTGAGCCACCCAGTGGACACCAGTCCTACATAGATGCATTGCTCTGAAATGAAGAAGGCAACCTTCAAAATGCCGCGGGCTCTGATCATTTGCTACTTCCCAGCCTGCAGGGGGTTAGTTCGTTTCACCCCCTCTGATACATTGCTGCTGTAGATATTCTCCTCCTAGCACTTCCATAGCATAAATCACTGGGGTGACAGCTAGGTTTTGAACAAAAGGAAATTAGAAATAGATATTCCACCCTGAGAGCTGTATGCATCATTTTTTTCTGACAACTCAGGTAAACCCTCTGTGTACCTTATACTCCTCTCCCACAAGATTCTCAGTGTCCCTGATTTATCACACTGTGCCTTCAGCTGGGAGATGCATCCTACTGTGACACCTCGCAAGTGCCAGCCTATTCAGTGAAGATTAAGACCAAACAGATCAGCAGAGACCAGCCTTATGGCCAGCACTGCAGTCTCAACTCCTTGCCTGTTCCATTTGCTGAAAGAGCAGATCTTATAACCAAAGCCAAGAAGCAGCATCTCAAGCCCAGAAGTAAAATTTCCAGGTACTCACACAGTGACATAGGGCCATGGCACGTTGCCCTTCTGGGTGGCTGGCAGGTTGCTGGCACCGTGCAGAGTGACAGAGATGGATTCCTTCCCAGAGTGTGCCAGGTGCCAATGATTGGTTTCTGAAGTTTGCACGGCCTCATCCATTCCAGAGGGTGCCTCTAATACCTGCCAGGTGCAAGCAGAAAGAACTTCAGCATTTGTTCTTACCCAGTGCAAATTCACCTTCCACCTCCCGCTGACCCACATCTCCAGTTCTGTTCTAAAGGCTCAGGTGTGTGCCCTCAACAAACGAGCTGTGCTTGCATATTTCTCAGACTACTTGGAGAGACAAGTCTTTCCCATGGGTGCCAAGGTGTCCAGTGCTCGGGCCAAGAGGCTCAGTCCCAGAGCAAGAGTAAATTCAGAGATGTCTCATCTCCTCTCCCTATTCACATGCAACTCCCATGGAAACTAGCAGGAGTAATACATGCAGAGGAAGAAGAGTTCACAACCCAGGAGAAGTAACTGAGTTGTGAGCCCACAGCTTCCCCAACAATGCCCTGCCATCATGCCGCAGGCCAGGCCAGGAGGAACAGCCCAGCATAGCAGCAAAAATGAAAGTTTGCATGGACCGGTCAGTACTTAGCTTCTCTGCTGAAATTGCCAACAGGGGGGGCTAATTAGCAGGGGGCAGGAGGGAGGCTGAGGTGTGGACAGAGGAATGTGCGGTTCAGAAGGTAGAATAAGAGGGTAGGGAGTTTGGGGTACAGGAAGGAGACTAAAGGGTTAGGGAATGGAGGAAAGAGGGAGATGGAATGGCTAGGAGACTGAAGAGGAAAGAGGGAACATATGGGGTGGCAGGTGAATTAAAGAGTAGGAGACTGGGTGGGGGGTAGAGAAGCAGGGAGGGGAGGGGGACAGGGCAGCAATGGAGTTGGGGGCACTGCAGGCATACACTGGCAGCACTCCCACCCCAGGGGAGGTTAACCAGGGTCCCCTTCGAGCAGCTGGGGAGGGCCTGCATCTCTGGGGATGCATTGAAGGTTGAAGCACACACAATTTGGGGCAGGCGGCCTCCCACTAAAGACACAAAACTCAGAAGGCAACCAGCCCCCTCTCCCTCCATGCAACGTATTACCATTATTCGAAAAATCCTGTGATCACTTCAGCCCGGATCGTGAATTTGATGCATGATGGGCTGGCAATACTCTACCTTGGAAGCTTTTCCCATGTTTGGCTTCAGACAGAGGATTGCGCTCTAGGTACCTCCTCTCCCCCTGGAACTCCCCTGCTACCTCTGTGCAGGGAGCTGGTCAGAGGGAAGCAAGGGGCAGGCGGCCAGCAGGGGGCAGCACAGGAGAAGGCAGGAGCTCTACTCCTCTGCTGGTGGGAGGCTGGAAGTGCAGGGTCTAAACAAAAAACCCAACCACTCTGCTCAGTGCTGAGAGTCTGGTTGGGGCGGGAATGAGTTGAGGAGGTGACACCCTCCACACATCCCCATGGCAATGAGCCTGTACTCCAGCGTCCTTGAGCACAGACTCTTTGCTATGCCAAGGATGCTGATGGGCCTAGGTAATAAGTGTTCTCAGCCCTACCGGTGGCACCATGGTTACAGCCATGGTGTGCAGTACAGGTGCAAGAATGCGATTGGCCAGTGAGGGTTCTGAGCTGTGTGACAGCAATGTGAAAGCACCCCAGGTAGGGCTCAGCCTCGGTTGCCATCACAACAAACAGGCAGGACTTGTCTACACAATATCCTAACCTGCTTTAAAACTGGTTCATTTAAACTGGTTGGAACCATAATGCTGATTAGACCCCAAGCAGCCTGAACTGGTTACAACTCCATGATCAGCAGGCCATCAGGAGTCTGGTTCCAATATGGGGCACGTCAAACAGGCTCACGGTGACAGTAAAGACATGACAGCACCCCAGAAGCAATCAGTCTCTCCAGCTACTTGCACTTTTCACCGAGGGTATGTCTACACTATGAAATTAGGTCGATTTAATAGAAGTCGATTTTTTAGAAATCGATTTGATACAGTCGATTGTGTGTGTCCCCACTAGGCGCATTAAGTCGGCGGTGTGCGTCCACAGTACCGAGGCTAGCGTCGACTTTCGGAGCGTTGCACTGTGGTAGCTATCCCACAGTTCCTGCAGTCTCCACCGCCCATTGGAATTCTGGGTTGAGCTCTCAATGCCTGATGGGGCAAAAACATTGTCGCGGGCGGTTCTGGGTACATGTCGCCAGGCCTCCCTCTCCCCGTGAAAGCAACGGCAAAAAATCGTTTCTCGCCTTTTTCCTGGGTTACCTGTGCAGACGACATACCACGGCAAGCATGGAGCCTGCTCAGCTCACTGTCACCGTATGTCTCCTGGGTGCTGCTGGTAGATGCGGTACTGCAGTGCTACACAGCAGCATCCCCTTACCTTGCCTTGCGGACGGCAGATGGTGCAATACGACTGCTAGCCGTTGTCGTCGTCCCGTGAGTGCTCTTGGCCGGCCTCAGTGAGGTCGGTCAGGAGCACCTGGACAAAAATGGGAATGACTCCAGGTCATTCTCTTCTTTAAGTTTCGTCTAATGGAGATTCAGTCCTGCCTGGAATATCATGCCAGCTGGAGGCTTCTGCCTCAGGCTGCTCTCCCGGTCGGCCACACCGCGCGGTCATACCTACCCTAGCCTATCCCTTGCTCCCATGGCTCATGAAGCCTGGACAATAGTAAGGAGCAGTTCAACTATAGGCTGAGCAAGTGCATAATGGTGGCAGAATGTGCCTTTGGACGTTTAAAAGCTCGCTGGCACAGTTTACTGACTCGGTTAGACCTCAGTGAAACCAATATTCCCATAGCTATTACTGCTTGCTGTGATATCCACAATATCTGTGAGAGTAAGGGGGAGATGTTTATGGCAGGGTGGGAGGTTGAGGCAAATCGCCTGGCCGCTGATTACGCGCAGCCAGACACCAGGGCGGTTAGAAGAGCACAGCAGAGCACGCTGTGCATCAGAGAAGCTTTGAAAACCAGTTTCATGACTGGCCAGGCTACCGTGTGAAAGTTCTGTTTGTTTCTCCTTGATGAAAACCCGCCCCCTTGGTTCACTCTACTTCCCTGTAAGCCAACCGCCCTCCCCTCTCCCCTTTGATCTCCGCTTGCAGAGGCAATAAAGTCATTGTTGTTTCAAATTCATACATTCTTTATTAATTCGTCACACAAATGGGGGGATAACTGCCAACGTAGCCTGGGAGGGGTGGGGGAGGAGGGAAGCACAGGGGTGGGGTAGTTGTAGGGGCACCCCCTAGAATGGCATGCAGCTCATCATAGAAGCAGCATGTCTGGGGCTCTAACATGGAGCTGCCGTTTGCCTTTCTGGTTCTTTGGTAGGCTTCACGCAGCACTGCTGCGGGTCCCTGTTATAACCTCTGTCCTTCATGCCCTTGGAGATTTTTTCAAATATTCCGGCATTTCATCTTTTGTAATGGAGTTTGGATAGCACGGATTCATCTCCCCATACAGCGATCAGATGCAGTACCTCCCTTTCAGTCCATGCTGGAGCTCTTTTGTGATTCTGGGACTCCATGGTCACCTGTGCTGATCAGCTCGCTACGCTGGCCAAACAGCAAATGAAATTCAAAAGTTGGTGGGGCTTTTCCTGTCTACCTGGCCAGTGGATCGGAGTTGAGAGTGCTGTCCAGAGCAGTCACAATGGAGCACTCTGGGATAGCTCCCGGAGGCCAATACCATCAAATTGCGTCCACAGTACGCCAAATTCGACCCAATAGGGTCGATTTCAGCGCTAATCCCCTCATCGGGGAGGAGTACGGAAATCGATTTTAAGACCCCTTTAAGTCGACAAAAATGGCTTCGTCGCGTGAACGGGTGCAGGGTTAAATCGATCTAATGCTGCTAAATTCGACCTAAACTCGTAGTGTAGACCAGGGCTGAGGTTAGCAAAAGGTACAATACTGTCAGCCTCGTGTCTCACAACAGAAGGCAGGAGATGTGTGACGGCCTCAAACAGCCCAAACACACACACACTCCAGTCTTATTAAATATACAATGACAACTTCTCTTAAAATTCTCCCATCCCAGCAGCTCACATGTGACTGGCGGGGGGAAGGCTGAGAACAGGCTCGTGTAGCTGTGGAAATTAGGCCCCCAAATGGTTGATCCAGTCAATTCTACTGCCAATTCCTCAGTGAACTGACAAGGACCTTCCTCATCTCAGCTTTCCCCATTGCTATCTCCTCCTATGCTAAATGAATTAGCCTCTGCTGAGTCAAGTATCAGAGGGGTAGCCATGTTAGTCTGAATCTGT